AAGAGGGTGCCCTCCTCTCCCTACTTTCTGACTTGGCAACACCTGCAGACACCTGACCTGCTCCTTGGTGACACGAAGTGACAGTTACTACTCCCAGATGGGTCCCAGCTATAGAAAGAGAAGGTTCAACCCTCAACTCCCCCACTATCCCTGCCCTCCAGCTAGAGAGATACCCTGTGCAACATGCAGAGCCTAGAATTAGAAAGGATGGGGCCTATCAGATGGGGTGCTGTGAATATATTAGGGTGTGTATTGGTTTCCTAAGGCTGCCATAATAACGTTCCTTGAACTGGGTGGCTTAGAATGACAGAAATGTATCCTCTCACAGTTCTAGAGACCGGAGTCCGAAATCAAGGCATGGGCAGGGTTGGTTTCTTCTGAAGGCTGTAAGAAAAGGCCTCTCTCCTAGCGCTGGTGGAAGCTAGGGGCCAATCCTATTGCAGTAAGACCTCATCCTAACTAATTGCATCTATAACGATCATATTTCCAAAAAAGGTCACATTCTGAGATTCCCGGGCTTAGAACTTCAATATATGAATTTGGGGGGGGGGCACAATTCAATCTATATGTGGTGTAACTAACATTTCGATTGTAAAGCTTGTAATTTAAAACTTGTAATTTAAAGATTAAAAACCAACAACTTCTTCAACCTCCTCATTTTATGCAGGAGAAAGCTGAAGCCCAGAGATGTTTCAGAGTTAGGTGGAGTGGGAAGGAAATGCCCACTCCAGAATTTTAACCCCATCTCTTATAAGCCATGAGACCTAGAATCACTTATGTGGAGCTTTATTCTCCACTTGGATATGACACTACCTGGCATTGCCTAACAGGGAGGTCGGGGACCATTGCCATGAAGATGCTTTGTCAACTCTAACAGACATATATGAGTAAAGGGTAATTTCTGTAGGGTCACGTGCAGTAGGTATCTGTGGAGCATCCCATCAAGTCTGGAGTTCTTTCCTTAGACATGGCTTTGTCCCAGCCACCCCTGTGTTGCGGAGGTCAAGGCAGAAGCCTGAGGCTCTAGTGAGCAGGGATGGAGAATACGTCACAGTGAGTGACTCTCATAAAAAATCGGAATTTGACCAGGCTGGGAGATCCAACCCAACTTTGGGGGTGATCATAAAGACAAGGTGCCTTTACTCTTTTAACTGGCAAAATTCTCAATAAAATGGTTACTCTTTTTCTAGCTTAAGACTATGAGCTCTGGGGAGGGTAAATAAGAACAATTTACCGGTGAGGTGAATTAAAAAGGTCAGTCTGAGAGCTGCGGAAAATTCTGTGGTGGAACTCAAAGCCACTGAAAGATCATTTTGTAAGAAACCAGCAGGGTGGAGTCCGACTGGGTTTTGCACCAAGAGTCTTCACTCACTAGCTGTGTTAATGACAGGGGCGGAAGGGGTGAGTTTAATTAACTTCCTGATTCCTGGTTCCTCCTCTGTTAAGTGGGGATAAAGCTATTTAGGCACAGCTGGTAGAGCGTGGCTGGGCTCAGCCTTTCCACAGTGTGATCAGGCAGTACTCATTTAAATAAAGCATGCATGCGCCCAATGAGCCAGAAATGCCATTCCTAGGTATAGACCTAGGGAATGTCACACCCAGTGTGTGAGGGACAGGCACGAGGATGATGCTTCTGTAGCACTGTTTGTAGGAGACGGCCAGGCCATCCATCATTAGAGGAATGAATGAGTAACATACTGAGGATGCCAATAATGGAACACTAGGCAGCAGCTAGAAGAAATGAACTAGAGCAATGGTTCTCAGACTGTGGATCCAGGACCAGCAGCGTCAGCATCAGCTGGGAACTTGTTAGAAATGCAAATTCATGGGCTCCAGCCCAGTTCTAACGAATCAGAAACTCTGGGGTGGAGCCTGGCAATCTCTTTTAACAAGCCCTCCAGGAGATTCTGATCTATGCTCAAGGTTGAGAATCAATGAAGCAGAGGGACACATGGAAAGATATTCAAGCATCGTCTTAAGTTACAAAGTAAGAAAGAGACTGAGGTTTATTCCTCAACGAAATTTATCTAAATTAAAAGCATACATATGCACAAAAATATTTGATAACCAAGACTGTCATTCTAGTGAATTGGGGCCAGGGATGCTGCTAAACATCCCACAACACACAGGACAGTTCTGCACAACAGAGAGTTACCCAGCCCAAGAGGTCAATAGTGATGATGTTGAGAAACCCTGATACCTCTACACAAAACCCCTCTTGCCTCCTTCAGACTAGTATCTGCCAAATTGTGTCAAGAAGAATGCATGCGTGCCATGAGTTTTGAATTAGGTCTTCTGTTGGGGAGAAGAAACATCAACGAAGCAATATTTCATCTTTGTGTGTGTGTTATATAAGTGCCTTTGCATAGTTGACCTTAATATTGAAGAATGACCCGGCCTGATGCCTCAAACAAGATGTCCAGGCTCTACCTTGGTCAAGAGGAATGTTATCAACTAATTGCTGCATATTTGCCATCTACTCAGTGGTCCTTGCACTGGGACGCATTTTTCACCTGATTTCAGCACATATATGTGATACTATTTTCTACTTATTGTGTACCAAATATATCCAAGTTTGATCACTTCATACAACAATTAATTATTCTGTGGAGCCATACATTTGCCATAAATCTTAATCCATATTCATATTATAGGAGTTCTGTTAGTTTCCTGACACTATATAATCACTGCGATTATCTCATACTCAAATCTTGGGATCATTGCTAAGTGAGAATGATTTCTCTTTCTTCTGAATTTATTTGTGTCCCATTTGGCACTTTGTAACTTGGAATACAGGTGACTCTTGATAATATAAACTCTTTGAGATCACACCTAAATTATATTATCCTAGTGCCATGTTTTGTTCTTGATGTTCATTAGACCTTGAACTATAAGAACAATGATAAGATTTTTGTAAAAGGTAATTTATATACAATTACCTGCTCCTCTGCCCCTTTTCCTCTATGATATTTACTTGATAATGTTTCATTCAGAGTTTAATATATAGTTCTTGCAAGTAGGAAAGATTAGATAAGTAAGTCATGAAAGATGCATATTGGAAATTTCCCAGAAGAGTAGTTTTTACATGCAGTCTCAAGCCATTATTTTTTACTGCATTTGCTTTTCAAAAAGAAATGGATTTGAAATATAGACACATTAATATGACTCAAATCTCTAAGTCTATCCAAGTAAACCACAGGATGCTGATCAGCAAAACTTGAGTGAAAGAGTAGAAATCAACAGATATAGTCGGCGGGAGTGTTGGCAGGGGCTGTGTGACCCTAATCATGCCACTTCACCATGAGTATTTCTGGGCACTCCCCCTCCTTTTAAGTGAAAGGTTCTCATATCCACTGATGTGGATCAGCACTGTGCCAGGTAGAGAAACCCAAGCCCTGGCCTACATGCCGATCTATATGACTCGATTTGTATCTAAAGTTATACGACCACACAATCACCAGACCCCACCTGCAGTGATACCATCTTAATGACTTTTTGCATCATCTTTCCTTTGTCTGGTAAAAATAAGTCACATACTCATGCCTTATAAATTTAGCCCTAATCCTCAACACATTGAAGCTTTTCACTACCCATGGGTCCTGTCCCCATGCTATTCTCTGAATAAAAGAGCACTAATAGCAGAACTTGAGAGTCCAAGAAATCTTTCTTTTGACTCCTTGGCTCGCCAAGCCCGCATCACCCACCATCTCTGGCTGTCTTTGCTCTAACAGGAGCTCATCGCTGCACCCCTGAACTCACATGGTACAGACTTTCCTTCTGCACCATGGTGCTCCTGCAGTTTCTTCCCCTTTTGCTAAATGATATCACCATCCCCTCAGGTTCTAAACCCAGAAATCCTAGAGTCATTTTATGACTCCACTGCCTTCCTCACCCTCAACATTAATCTATTAACAAGTCTTATTGATGTTCCTATCTCCAAAATATGTCTTAAGATCTGCTCCCTCCCCTCTCCTTGCTCCTCATTAAATTCAGCCTCCATTAGCTTTTGAGGATGAGCCTTGACCTGGGTGATGCATTTTTAATCTTGCATTTGAATACAGGTCTGGCTGGCTCCAACCTTCCCCTCTCCCCTTCCTCAAAGGGAACGTTCAGCCACAAATGAAATATTTTCTGTTCTCTAGGTTAGGAATAGGACCACTACTAAAATAAATGTTTCCCAGTCTTCTGGCACCTTAAGATCTGAGGCAAAACAACAAACAACCCCAAATCTCATATGCCTATGAACTGGAAGTCTAGAACTACCAAGAAGACTTCTCGAAATTCCTAGTCTTTCTTGATTATAATCACTTCTACTTCTCAACTCCTGTATATGTTTAATCATTTCAGCTTATGAATTATCTTGCCATCACACATATACTGTGGCATTAATTCAAGCGTGAAATATAGCCCTTCCTTGAATTTACACTCATGTGCACACACATAGCATGTGTATGTACAGGGCTTCACTAACGGTTAATTACGGAGGGAGATTAGAATCTAGAGTTATTTACTGCACATCAACAAAAACTTCAAATGAAACATCAGACATCTTTTTTCTTAAACACTCTCTGGCCACCCAACTACAGGGGATTTCTCACTGGATAGTTTGAAGCTCCTGGTCCTCCAACCTCACGCTCTCAGGATACTCATTTCTCTCCTCTCATGCAGGGGGGTTAGCCACATCCTTTGTGTCTAGCTCCTGCTAACGCCCAGTCCTCAGGCATTCCTTTTAACCTCAGATAGCTTATCAATGTTACTCCAAAAGAAGACAGCTTCTTCCTGAGAATTCTCATTCTCTGTTAAGATAATAAATTATTCTTATTCCTTAAAAGAGGCTGAAGATTTCAACTCTTGTTAAACGTTTCTATTAATCTGAGTTTGATATTCACCCTTCAGGTATTTATTGGGAACTTCTGCTGAGTTTGGCATCATTTTGTTGCTAGGAGCAAAATAATACTGTGCAGAATCCAGCAAGAATTCTGCTCTCTCCATGCTGCTCTATGGTCTGTAGAATGTAGAATCTACATATTTAGTAGTGCAATTTACTGTTAATGTGTAATTACAAAAAGAGAAGACTGTGCAAGAAAACAATGCAGTCCTATGAAATCGCACCACATAAGGATCTGATGTAGACTGAGGATCAGGAAAGGCAGCCACAGGAAGTGAGGATGGAAGTTATTTTGAAGTCGTGGTACACTGCTAAAGGTTTAATGATGGGCTCTGTTGAAGGGGCTGGGCGTGGGGGAGTGAGGGGAACAAGCTCAGATGTGTAGCATTTGTCAGTTTCCATAGTGTAAATGTTTACTCTATGTCTGATTTCAGGCTATCACTAGCGTGTCTGAATGTAAAGTTGGAAGTGGAAAGATGAGAACAAGAACCACCGTTATATAGCATTTCTACCATACAGAAATGATATTAAGAGCATAGATACAGTGTGATATGGAATCTACCAAAAGCTCAACTCACAGAAATAGAAACTAGAATGATGGTTACCAGGGGCTGGGGGAGGAGGAAATGGGGAGACATTGGTTAATGGGTACAAACTTGCTGTTATAAGTTCTGGGGGTCCAATGTACAGCACAGTGATTATAATTAATAATACTATATAATATACTTGAAAGTTGCTAAGAGAGTAGATCTTAAATATTTTCACCACAAAAAAGAAATGGTAGTTATGTGATATGATGGTGGTACCAGCTAACGCTATGGTGGTAATCATTTTGCAACATACAAATGTATCAAATCAACACATACATCTTAAGCTTATGCAATGTTAATTATATCTCAATAAGGCTGGGGAAATAGAAGAGCATAGATAGTAGTAAAGTGTAGTATAATAATCAGGAAGTGATGAATTTTGAGTGCTACCTTTGTTTTAATTCAATTTATTCATGATTTTATGTAATTTTATTTTTAATAATAGCTCTATTTAACAACCAGCTTGTAACATTCCTGAAAATTTAACAGTCAGCCCTCGTGAGCCCATGAAAGCTAAATCCAGCGCAGCACTGAAGGTCAAGTGCATTTAACTAGGTATGGAAAGTACACAGGGGTAGCAGCATATGCAAAGGTCCTGTGATGAGGGGAAGCTTGGCAAGGTTGCTAAGGCTTTTTGCTTTTAATCCTAACAGCAAGTGAAGCCTCTGCAGGTTTACAAGCAGAAGTGTAATGATCTGACTGCACTTGGGAAAGGCCTGTTGTGGGAGGAGGGTGTTGTTCCACTGTCACTGGGTGGTTTCGGTTGAATTTGGGTAAACACACAGGGAGAAGGATTCAAACTCTGGATGGGGACTAGACGCCCTTTCAGTTCCTCTCAGCTCTGAACTTTCATGACAAACAAAGAAAGACTGGAGTTTTTGAGGACAGATAGAAGAGGAGAGAACTGATGAGTCAAGGGCCTAGATCTGGCATCTTCAACATTATAAGCAGAGGGACCGGCTCCGTGGACAAGTGGTTAAGTTGGCGCGCTCCGCTGCGGCGGCCCAGGGTTCGGATCCTGGGCGCGGACATGGTACCTCTCATCAGGCCACGTTGAGACGGCGTCCCACATCCCACAACTAGAAGGACATGCAACTAAGATATACAACTGTGTACAGGGGGGGTTTGGGGAGATAAAGCAGAAAAGAAAAAAAAAGATTGGCAACAGTTGTTAGCCCAGGTGCCAATCTTTAAAAAAAAAAACATTATAAGCAGATAAATAAATATGCCAGCAACTCGAGGCCGAAATTAAAAAAAAAAACAAGCCTTATCTTGAAAATAAATAGCCACAGGAAGCAGAGAGAGACAGGTGTTTTCTCTCTCTCTTCCTCCTTCTTCATGGGTTCCTATTTTTGAGATGCCGCTTCCTCGAAGTGTCAGACAATTACATCTGCTAATATATTTTTGCCAACGTGATCCTAAAAAGGATAATGTGAACTATTTAATGCCACTCCCTCATGGCAGAAGTCAATAGAGCAGTAAAAGCTACAGCATCTCATGTTATGAAATTCCTTGTGCAAGAGATTTCAGAGAGCACAGTCCGAGACCAGGAAGACTGAGGAATGGCTTCACACAGGAGGGAAAGGAACCTGCCGGAGAGTCCCTTTGTGCTTACGGCCTTTGTAGCTATGGCACTGTCTTCCATGACCCGCTCTGCCCTCCCAGTTTTAGCCACAGCTTCCTAACTCCACACTGCCTCTCTGGGGGGGCCCCCTGCCAGCATCCCCTCTAATCTCCCCCACGGCAGGAGCCTTGAAGGCAGCCCAGACCTTGTGTCTGCCCATGGACCCTGTACCACAACCCTCCCCCTGGGCACCATACCCTTCAGGCTGTCGCTACCCTGGACACTCTTCACAACAGCCCACCTTCTCCCCTTCACTGTCCCCTCAGAGTAAGTCCCAGTCAGTCCTGGCTGGAGTTAACCTTAAGAAAAATGGCTTTGGAGACAGTCAGATTCCTGCTTCCCTGTGTATCAGTCACATGGCATTGGGTAAGCGAGGCAGCCTCTGGGCCTCAGTTCTCTTGAGTGAGGAGTAGAATACTCCCCATTTCTCTCCAGGTTAAGTGTTGAGGAAATGAGGATAGCAAAGTTCCCAGAACAATCAATGCATGATAACATATCACTTTCCATGATTATTACTTTTATCTGCTCCCTGGCCTGCCCTGCATCTGTGTGTTTTTGAAAGACCCATTGATTTACTCATTCGTTCTGTGCAGGCACCGTGTCATCCATGTTGTCTTGGTGGGCCCGTAATTCATAGGAGCTATTTACCTGATGCCTGTTATATTTTGTCCAAAGATGCTCTCATCACTTTTCAGAGAATATTAGCTTTGTGTTGCTGCGCAGTGAAGTGCTAGAGATCTACAGAGAATGAATAGCGATGTCTGTGGCCCCAGAGAGCTGACTTACCGTATGTCCACAATACATCGGTGCCTTTCTCCTAACTAGTTGGCTCTGGATGCATGTTGCTGATGCCCGAATCCTTCAAGTGCATTTTCAAAGTTAGTCTATGGCTTTTACTACTAGCCCATTAGGTAAACAGACTTTTTTCCCTTTTTATTAGGAGTGCTAATAGGGCAGGAGGCAGATTCCTCCTCACTCCGCTCTCCTACACGCCTGCACTACAGCGGGTTTCTACAGGCATCGTCTCGTTTCCTCCTTACAACTGTGTGAAGAGATAGCCTGCACCTGGTTTTGTAATTGAATTAGCTAAAGGTTGGATAAATTAAGGAACTTGCCCCTAGTCCCTGGGCTTGCAGAGCCTGAACCTGCCAGACACCAGAGGCTGACCTCTCTGCTGCATGCAATGCTGTCAGTCTACCAGTAATCTCCCAGTTCCACCGCTCACTTATCACCTCTCAGAACATCAGAGCAGAAGCAATGGCACTGTACTGTCAGGTGAGGGAATCCTGACACCCTTCAGCTCAACCTCTCCCTTTCAGGCTCCCTTTCATGGGGGCCAATCTGTTGACAAATTGTCCTTTTCATAGTTGAGGGAAGCTTAACAAAAGAAAAGTTTAATAGACTCACCATTGAGGGCACAGCAATTTAGCAAGAAATATGGCTGAATGACTTGCAACTGTCTTCACCGTGCGTCTTCTAGATTCTGGCGCAAACCCAGCTGCCATAACAAACAGAACGACCAGATTTGCTTCACTGTCGAATGTTTTGTGTCAGGGCTGCTTCAGAAAGCTCATCCTTTTCTGGCTCCCCATAAGAATCTTGGTCTAGTCCACAGGTGCCGTGGTCAAGGAGAATCAAATCAGGCAGAAATCCCTGCCAGCTACTCACAGGGACACGAGTTGCTAGCAGGACGTTGGAGTCTGCTGGCTCTGGGACGAAGCAGGTGAGCGGAGCCAAGGTGGGGCCACAAGCCAGACTCACACCTGTTGTTGACATCAAACAGTTGTGTGTTCCTGTGGTGTTCATTCCTTATGTTCATAAAGGCTAAGCTCAGGGAACTCAAGTCTCCCTCCAGTCCCTACACGAGGAATCTCCCTTCCTAGAGTGAAGGCAGCAAAGGTACCATTTGTTTTCTTTTTTCCTTTGTTGGCATTCTATACAAGATCCGAATGCTGATCCTTTGTTACGTACATTGTAAGTATCTTTTCCCAGAATGAGGCTTCCTTTCTCACTGTTCTCATGGAATCTTTTTTTACTTTTTATTTTTGCTGAGGAAGATATTCGCCATGAGCTAACATCTGTTGCCAGTCTTCTTCTTTTTTTTGTATGTGAGCTGCTGCCACACCATGGCCACTGACAGAAGAGTGGCATAGGTCCATGCCCGGGAACTGAACCCAGGCTGCAGAAGTGGAGTACACCGAACTTAACCACTAGGCCACTGGGGCTGGCCCTCATGCGATCTTTTGATGAGCAGAAATTCATCTTCCATTTCATATTGATTGGTGGTAGTTTCCTGGAACATTGCTTTACACAGGGGCCTGAGATTGGGCAGGCTTGGTATGAAAGAGCACCGTGATCTATTAAGGATGTCTGTACACCACGAGGGCTCCCAGGACTGTCATTTTATAGCCTTGGAATAAGCTAGCTAAATAGTCAAATGGATTTCAGTTCACGTTTCTACCAATGCACCCATTGGACGGATCTCTGGGGACAGGTGAATGGAAGGATAGAAATTCATGAAAGGAGCAGGGATAGCACTGACTATCAGTAATAGTAGAAACACATGCCTTCTCTGTCTTTTTCAAAGAGACAGGTAGATTTCACCTTCTTCAAGGAGGTGACGTAAGCTCTGGATCTGAAGGGTGAATAAGAGTTTACCAAGTAGAATAAAAAACATCTCAAGAAATGTAATTGGGGAGTGGGATGAACAGAATGGTGTGTTCAGGGAAGCCTAAGAAGTTTGGTGGTTCTGGGTCATCACAGGTGTGGCAGATGATGGTGAGAGATGAGGTTGGAAAGTTTGTTGGGGTCCATGTCATCATGGTCACACTCTCTGTGTGTTAAGAAGTTGAGACTTTATTCTGGAGGTCGTGGTCCTGTCTTTCAATTAGCCTCAGGGCCGAAATATACAAGATAATAAAATAAGGCTTGAGAGAAAGAAGAATAATAGGAACATGAGGCTAGGAAATTCTTAGAAATTATTAGGTGCTAAGATAGAAGCATTGGCTAGGTCTTACATCAAGGAATTGGGCTCAAGCTTCATGTTTGGTTTTAGCAAAAGCTTCTATCTGAGGATAGAAAGGAAGCCATGGGGGAGAAAGCATGAGACTTAGTGTTGGAAAAGTTGAGGATAATGAGAGTAAAGGGTAATTAATAGGGTTTCGGGCCCAAGGGTTGGGGTAGCAACCCAGTGATCAATCTTGGAGTACAGGGAGAGAGAAAGAGACTGGGGTTTGGGACCAGTACTCAGCCACTACGTGGGCAGTTGGCCTTGAGGATGACAAGGAAACTCCATTTCCATAACCGAGGCAGAAGGTCAGATGTGACCAGAACAAAGCTGACCTGACACTCAGAACTTTCAGCTAATGTGTGGCCTGCAGCCTTGGCAGAGTGAGGGGGCACAGGCTGAACCACTTCAGAGCCTGGGTTGAAATCCCCGCCGGGCCCTCTGTGTCTATGGGATCTCGAACAAAGCTGGCTCCTCCATGAGACGCTAAGCAGCCCTGACATGTCAAATGGGATTAGCGCAGAGCCTGGTGAGCAAAGAAGGCAGAACAGTCCTAGCTGCTGGGCGGGAGGGAACTCAGGGCCGTCTGTCAGCTCTGCCTGCTTCCTGCCCTCTGCCCCATCCTCCTCCCCACAGCCAGGACTCTTAGAATTGAACAGGAGCGAGGGATTTAAGCAGTTCCAGAACCACTCCCAGACTCACCAGTCTTGTGAGTCAGACTCTGTGCTCCAGTTTTGATTGATCTAGTGTCTGCTCCACATCCTCAGCCCGCGTCTCAGTTCCTATAGGAAAGGCTCAGGTACTGGGGACTCTCTGAGTGCCTATTTCCTCATCTGCAAAGAAAGTGAAGAATCCCAACCTCACGGAGTTGATATGAGGCTTTCTTAAGCCTATTGGTGAAATGTACATACTAATACACACTAACCATCTTTGCTAAGTGCTTCACAAATGCGATGGTTGATGTGACGGCGATGAAGGTGATCACAGTGTATGATGACCTCTTGCAGTCTCTGAGTCACACCTTGGTAGTTTTACTGGCCCACTTGCTCCAGAGAGAGAAGAGTAGGTGTGTGGGTTTGTGCAGGAGCAAGGCGCATGTGAATGGTAGAGCATTAGGCAGAACAGGAAGAGAAATCCAGCTGGAGAAAGAGAAAGTAGCCAAGTTAAGTAGATTCTAATTTTACTATTCAACGGACTCTTAGTGGCTTCAAGAGAAAGGTAATTATACAATTATTATGCAAATGTAGTAAGCAAGTGAAGGGTATGCAAATAAAGGAAGTTTTAGAGAGACTTGGGCAAATTGAGTGACCCATGGGATTAATTCCATTTCCTGACATGTAAGACGGTCCGTGTTTTGGGCAGGGGGAACGGAAACCTTCCCTTTGCTCTTCTGCAGAGCGAGCTGTGTTTCTCTTTCTCTTTGTTTCTGTGGAGATCTTCAATGTTTCACATGCAGAGTTTTAGTGTAATTTTCTGTCTTGCCCACAGGTCAATGTGCGTTTTGGAGGGGAGGACTATGAGTCTATTTTACCTTTGTTACCTGGCACAAGATGGGCAATGTGGATCTTTGTGTTTGAGAAGAACAAAAATTGACTATAGTGAAACCTCTGTGACACAGGATTTATGAACAGCTCTCAAAGGACACACATGAACAGGTAGTTTCTTAGCAAAGGGGTAAACAGAACAGAGTCAAACCAACTGAGATAGTGTGTAGCAAGGGGCAATACGCAATACATCATCCATAGCATTGGTTGGGTGAATAAGAAAGACTTCTAACCGACAACATATGGACAGAGGGATAGAAGCAGGAGTGGAAGAGATCCCTCAAGGGCGAATGGAGGCTGCCAGAGAGACAAGACTGCCGAACGGTAACTTATTGAGCCACTTTTTTTAAAACTGCCTTTGAAAAGAAGCTTGACTGAAAGAAAAGAATTTATGCAATTAGAATGTATTTTTCTTTTGTGTTCTTATCTGCTTCTCTCACAAGCTATTTTTGGTAAGTTTGCATTAACTTTCTAACAAAATGCCAATTAAAGCAACTTTTAATAGGCTGTGTTTAAAAGACCAAATCCAAAGAGGAAAGTGTGTTAGATCAGCACGTCAGTGTGGGAAGCAGATTCTTAATCCCATTTGGATAATAACTGAAATTCTCTGTTGTTTTCACCTGGGATGGCAACATATTAAATGGAATAGCAAACTCTCCAAGTGGTGGTAAAGAATACACGCATCCAGTGCTGGGATGCTTTCTTCCTTTTGTTTTTCCTTGTTTTTCCCACCAGTTCCTCTCTTAACAGAAACCTGTTTTCCAGATAGTGTCAAATGACACCCCGGCATTCATGTTTATGCTACGCACTGACAATACACTCAAGTCTCTGTTGACAGCCAGAATGTGTTACATGACATCAGCAGTCACCTATTTCTGGGAAGATAAATTAAACCACACTGCAGTATTTATGTTTGGATTGCAGGTGTTCTGGGCAGAGTTCCAGTTACGTTCAGGACTCTTGTTGGAAAACAAGTTCAAAGTACAATCAAAGATTTAACTTGATTCTACATGCACCTTTCCGGATTGGCCGGATTCTGACTTCTCTTTTATATCTCTACAACTTGGTGCATTCTGTTCTTTCTGCATCCTGCTCCTCCTGCCTTCCTTGATGGTTTAATTGCTATCCATCCAGAGTCTCCTTCAGGTGTCACCCCTTCAAGTCGCCACAGAACCTGTGCTAACCTCGTTCATAGTGTTTATCGGACTGAGGTGTCATTATAGTCACTCATCAATCTCTCCGTAATAAGCTAACTGAGGGCAGGTCTTTACTTTATTGACTATGATATCCCTACTAATAGAGGGACTGACTAAGGTCATAAGTGCCCAGTGTATGCTTGTCAAATAAAGAAAGTTTAAAAATAAGAATAGAGAGATAGATGGATAGACAACCGCACATATTGTTCATAGATAGACATGGATGATAGATGACGGGCGGATATGGATAGGACAATGGATAGAGGGATAGACAGGCAGATGGACACATAAGTGGATAAGGGAGGTGGAGCTAAGAGGAAGAATGATGCAAGGATGCAAGCCAATGTTGCTCTCCTATCTCATTGCTTTCATTCTTCATGACATTTCCATTCAATCCTTTGGAAAATTCTAAAGGTTCAACCATCTTATTTATGTTGAAGTAGTTGGTTTCCTTCTCTATTCCTTGCCTGGAAAGGTAGAAGGTAAACCAATTTTTTATTGTAGTTGAATTTAATCAGCATTCAATTTTGCCAAGTCACCTACAAATGATTTAGTTTCCTTTTGAACTAGTATAAGAAAACAAAATGTTTCGCCAATTAAATCTGATAAGACAAGTATTAAATGTTCAGGAGTTAGGAGTCCACTGGTTCTGCAGATAAGGAAACTAAGATGAGCAGCATCAGTAGGGATCATCTTTAGTCTTAGAAGGGCTGGAAGGGGTGGCTGCCCCCAGCTCTGATGTCTTTTCTGCTAAATAAAATCAAACTGATGGATAAAAGATGTTGTCGAGAAGAGATTCTCTGACACCCTGCTCCTGGCTTATATACTGTGTGATTAATGTGAAGAACGCATTACTCCTATGTCTGACTTCTATGGAGAAATCTGGGGTAGCCACGTTTGATAGGAGAAATCTCTAGTCGGCAAAGTTGAATATAATGCCCTAAGCCAGAAGGATGTCCTGTTTTCTTTAGGAGTGAAATGTGGGGTTTTGATGGAGGGCTGATATAGAAAATCTGGCCCTTCTCTCATGGTGGCTACACTGATAATCAGATATTAAATTCAGAGTTGGGTAACGAAATAAATCCTGGGATGAGAGAGTGGTACCTGACGTTAGCACAGTTTAACACTCACTGGGTGTGGCACCTCGGGATGTCAATCTTAGCCCGTGGAAATTGAAGAATGAGGACTAAAATCCTTACTGAATTTCCTTCTGAGTAATTATATGGATGTTTATAAGCATCCTGTAAAGGAAACTATATATTTTGTCTTATCTTAAAAACTCTGAATTTGACTTTAAGACCAATTATTATTGTTTTTATTTTGGTCCAATATCATCAAGACTGGACTGAGGAATGCAGGATCCACATTCTTCTAGGTCACCTCCTGTGTCTCAATTGACCGATGTTCCTTCACTTTCTCTCCCAGGCCCCAAACACAGGTTTTCAGGACGTGTTACAGAGAAATTATTAGTTCATCCACTACAAACAGTTTGTTAGGAGTTGCTGGGAATTGTCCATAAACACTTGATTAAATAACTTGGCTGTAAATATTTATATTAGTGTATGGAAATATTAAAAAAGGACTATAAAATAACAATGAAAACAATCTCAGGTGTCCCTTTCTTAACTGTGTAACCATCACTAAGTTATCTGAACTCTCCTGGTCTCAGGTTCCACTTCTGTGAGAGCAATCAAGATGCGCCTGACTGCATGAGTTTTGGAAAGAGTCAAAGAGATAATCCAAGGGAAGCATGCACAGGAATGCCTAACACAAAGGAAATGCTCAGAAGAGGTCTGCTCTTAGTAAAATACAATTGTCTGGAATGCACCTTACCTGTCCCAGGATTGGTGACAGCTATGCCCTTACTAGTTTAGAGTTTCTTTGGTTTCCTGTATCTCACCTAGTCTAATATACTTGAAAAAACATTCTGAAAATCATCAGTGCTCATGTTATTCATAGAAAAGGAAGACATCTGAGACAGGAAATCTGAGTCTTGTATCGTGTATTTCGTATTGTGTCCTCCTCCAACCCTTTGATTGTTGGAGGGTCAAACCCAAATTAGCGTGGCGACCAAGACCATCCCCAGTCTACTTTCTCCAGCTTCAATTCTCCCTACTTCTCTACAGGAATGTTTTTGTTAAGAAGATTGCTCCTCCAATATTCCTGGTTACCTGCTCACTTACTCCTTGATCCAAGGAGCCTTCGGCCAGAGTGATCTTTATAAAACAGAAGGCCCATATGTTGCCCCGTTGAGTCAGATGGGAGGCTGTTGGAAAGTCTTGAGCAGAAGAAAATTCAGAGCCTTTGCGATGGTCCACAAAACTCTGTAGAACCTGGCCCCAGCTACCTGTTGGGTTTCACCTCCCACCTCTCTACTTTTCACTTGTTCCACTCCAGCCATACTGGCCTCCTTACTTTCCTCAAACTCGATAAGAATCCACTCCCCTAGGGCCTTTGGATTTTCTGTTCCTTCTTCCTGGAAATGCCTCATCTCCAGGTTTCCCCATGACTCCCTCCTCTTCTTCCTTTCGGTGTCTGGCGAAACGTCACCTTCTCAGAGAGGCTGTTTCCTTCACACGCCATATAAGATAGCAGCACCTCCTTTGTCCCTTTCTATTCCTTTATATTATTTTTTTTCATAGCAAATATCACCACTGGACAAGTCTATCTTTATTTTTGAACGTATTTATTCTATAAGGTACATGAAAGCATGGAATTTGTCTTTTTCGATCTTCATTACCCAGAACAGTGCATCGGGCCCTATTGACCATAGTACCTCAGAACGGCTGGGGCCCCCTCCTGCCTCTATGGTGTTGCCCATCCTTCCCTCTTGCCTAGAGTTCCCTGCCTTTGTTTGTAAATTTCGCCCAGCTTTCTGCAGCCAACTCAAATCTACTATCTCTTTGAGTACTTTAACGAACATCCTAACCTACAGTCTCCTGCTGCCCTGAATTACTGGTGAGATGCAAAATTTTGCCCGTCAGTGGTCACCTGTGACTTCCTATGTGCTGAGTAGTGCACAGGGTTAAGTGAATATGTTATGGAGTCAGACTGTCTGAGATCAAATCCTGGCCCAGCCATCGATGAGTTGGGTGACCTTGTGTAAGCTACTTAGCCCACCTGTGTGTCATCCCCTGACCTGTTGAAAAAGACAATGTCAGCGCCCTTCTCTTGAGTTTACTGCAAGGATTAATGAGTTATATTTACCAAACCACCATGCCTGGCACATAGTAAGCACTCAGTCAATGTTTGCACTTATCTTTGTCACCTAAATAAGCTGTGCCCCCAGTTCGATCAAAGGCCCTGTTCTTTGTACTTCTCATAACATATGGCAGAGGCTTCCACGCGGCTGGTGCTCAATAACTCTGCTGACTTTTGGTAAAATTATTTCCTAAAAGAAATGTCAGAAGAAATGTTTAGAAAAATTATGCCAAAGCAGTTATTTCGGTAAAGCTGTCTGGGGCCTCAGAAAGGGTAAAGGAGAAGCTACAAGGAAGTTCCCTTGCACGCTCATTCAGAAAACATTTCCTAAGCATTTACTATGGGCCACTGCTCTAAGGATGCAGCCTTGAAAAGGACATGCCGCTTTTTCTTAAGGGGTCTGTGTGGACAGACCTGTGAACCGATAGCTGTGACACATGCAAGAGGGGCTGAAAGGGACGTGTGTGCAAAGCGTAGTGTCGCAGGGGTCACTTACAGATGGGGAGGGACCGGATAGTTACTCTTTCAGGCTGACTCAGGTAGCCTACATTTCTATTTCTGTGTGCTGCATGAGTGATTTTGAAAACGAGAATGGTGTTAAAATGGAAAATGGAATAAAGTCCCTGGGGAACAGGAGCAGAAGTGGTTTGGGGAGAATATACCGAAACTGTAAAACAAGAAGCACAGATCGAACAAAAGTTGTTGATTTCTTTAGGTTTCACTATAATCGAAAGCATTGTCCAGAGGACAACACATTGAATAAGACAGAGGATGTCCCCCCTTATTGTCCTAGCATGGCACTAATGAAGAAAAGGGCTTCCCTGCTCGTTGCTCTCTTACTGCAAGAATGGAAAGATGGCGTCAAACTGTAGGGGGCTGGCCAGGCCACGCAGAGCAGAGCCCGTTCCCACCTCCAGGTCCTTGGTCGTGACGAGCCTCCCACCTGTCTGCTCCTGCCCATCGTGCAGATTTCCATCTCCTCTGGCAATGTCTTTCAAAGAGAAAAGCAAAATTAAAATGATTTTCTGATAAATGTGGGCTTAAAATGTAATTCT